TATATATATATATATATATATATATATATATATGAGTTAATAGAATATTTCGATAGGTCTTCTTGGCCTAGCAAGTTTTCTTTGATATTACATTGATAATTTCCATCGGTTTACAGACTATCTAACAACAAACTGTAACAGCACAATAACGGCTCAGATAGCAGGGGTAATAGAACCTGAATCACGCCTGTATTACTCCAATAATGTCGATTGCATAACCACTCTGAAGACGTCCGAGGGTCGATTACTACTTCAGTTTTACCGCTTCGCGTTAGAAGACTACGTAAACAACGAGTGTGTTGATAAACTGGTCGTGTACGATGGACCGGACACGAATAGCACCCAATTAACTGATGACATGTGCGGCCGCAAACGTCCAGAAGATGTAGAATCAACTGGTGATTCGTTGACATTTAGATTCGTGTCAGACGATGATGGTCAGTCTCTCGGCTTTGGAATTTACTATACAACGTTTACAGAAGGTGATTTATTACAACGATTATCATTTCGAATTACCAATGATCATCATAATCATCGTCACCATTTCCATCATCATCACATCTACATCATCATCAACGTTATCATTATCACCACCATTATCATTATCACCACCATCATCAACGTCATCATCATCATCATCGTATTATTGTCGTAATCGTCAATACCATTATTATCATAATCGTCAATACTATCATTATCATCATCATCGTCACCATCCTCATCATCATCACCATCTTCATCCAAAAACTGCCTTCTCCATTACGTAACGACGACCTTTTTTTTTACAGCTCCATGTAGCCAAGATAAATTTAAATGCAACAACAGCAAATGTATTGCGGCATCATTAGTGTGTGACTCTTACGATATGTGTGGCGACAATACCGATGAAGAGAACTGCGATGGTGAGAACGTTATGCAATATCTACGTTATAATTTCTCAGTGTGCTTGTGTGGTACTATACTGAAGTCACTATTTACTGCTCCCCTGCTGCTGCTACCCCTGCCACTACAACTGTCACTGCCACTACTACTACTCTACTCCTACTCTTATATTGATATGCTGCTGTAAATTAATCTTCATTTAAACCAGATAGGCCTAGGTGTAAATTAATTTCATCAGAGTGAAGATCAAAATTCACCGCAGTGTCTACAAGCGATCTCCACAATAAGTACACAACTAGGAAACAATCTGAATTGCTAACTGAAAATGGATCACGAAGTTTATTTACATTATAATCTAATGCCTTTTATAATAAAATCAGCACATTCAAATGTACACGCAATAGGTTATAAAAGGACAATATAAGTCAAAGTATAAGAATGATAGATTGTTCCGTAAGAGAGGTTAACCTAGTTCGTGGCATTGTGTTTGTACACGCAATTGCGACGCATTTCAACTTCTGTGTACACAGTTTGCCTGACTTTTGTGTTTCCATTGGTTTCAGATGACACAGGTGTCGAAAGTGGTGGTTTGAGCATCGCTGTAATATTTGCCATTCTTGTCGGAAGCATCTGCTTCGTCATTGCTGTCATCTTAATTGTTTATACAATAAAAGAAAAACAACGTCAGAAGAAACTTACAGAACAGATTTTAAAAGAAAGCGTATTGAGACCATCTGATAACAATTACTGCGATAAAGACTTTTGGGGACCGCGATAATTATTCAACTTAATTCAACTTTTCCAAACCCCGATCTCATAGGCCTATTATTATTATTATTATTATTATTATTTTTGTAACCATTGTTTATATTTATCAAAAATTGTATGCATTGTTACTGCATGTTAACAGGAATACGATTTCTTCAATTCCCTTAGTATACTATTTATTAATTTGGTAACAGTACAAATAACAATGATCTATAGCACATTGAAACCCAATAGAGCCGATAAAGTGGGGGTGGGGGGGGTACAGGCAGGGAAAGTTCCCAGGCCACTGAGTTGATAAAATCGAAAAGTGTGATTAAACACAGTGATTTATTATTGTTTGAATTATAAAGGCTTACCTAAAAGGTTCTAGCTGCCTGTTGAGACCATCCCGAAAAGCTTGATACGATATTTTGTAGCGTATATAATTCGATATTTATTTACTTTTTTATGTATGACTCAGATAGTTTTTACTTATAGGTCTAATTGTTATGTGGTTAAAATTGTCACTTGTACATAATTTATATAATATTGTAAATTTTGCAAAACCTTTGACAGTTATTCAAATTTGAATAAAAACTAGTTTTTCTGTAATTATATTTTCTTGTTTGTTATTTTTACCAGTTTTGAAAATGCTATAAATGTTTGATGACAGAAAATAACAAGCGTTGAGTTGATTAAATATATATAAATTTCATAACTTAAAAAACCGTTTCCAAGATGTACTTCTGGTTACAATAAATCTGTAATAATTATATTCACACCAATTCACATTGTCAACAGTGAAATATAAGTTATATGATTATGATAGTATAGATGATTATTAAAATGTTGAATACGAGCAACATATTATTTTTTTTACGATTCTACCAGTAACAGTTCATCAGAACGTTGTATGTCGGCAAACAGTGACCGCAAGCTCATGATGCTTGAAATGAGTGCAATTCATCACGCCATCATCGGCCATACCAATGCTCTACAACCAAGTGTGCGAGTTTGCAAGAAGAAATTTCTTTTAAAATGTATAATCTTTAAAATTTTGTTTTTCATCTGCTTTCCCTCACATGTCCTCCGTCGCCATTGAAATAGTCATGGTCACCAAACATGGCACCAATATTTTCATCGTGTTGTTTATCCCTTCCTTTTCCACTTCTTGTTATCAGACTCATGCCTGCCCAATCTCCTTCCTTTCCTCCTTCCTTTCCCCTGTTCTTCTGGTCATTTCTTATAAAACTCTCCTCAGAGCCGTTTTGATTTTTGGAACGTGCTTTCCGTCCTTGACAACACCGCCGACATGTCCGTCCAAATCGTCGAAGACATCCTCTACACTTGCATTTGGAGCAACACGTCCTACAACAACCTACAAAACATTGCTTGCAGAAGTTGCGACAGCAGGCGAGGCGCCAAGGAATGTAGCCAGGACGCCAACATAACCAATACAAGATGTATGATAGCAGGTAGCCACCGATGAGAGCCAATATTATCCACCAAATATATGTACCGGCTGATGTCGTTTCTTTCCTTCTATCTGTAATTTATTAACAAGAGAAACTTCAGATCTCAGTGAAATAACAAAACACAGAAACATGTACAAATTAAAATTACATCTCCTAAACATGTTAGTATTATATTGGTCAATAATCCAACACATTTTTAACGCCGATGAGGAGCTGTAGAAACATTCGGCTTATTGATTACTATATATCTTTTTTCTATGGTCAGCCGTTAGCCAATATACTTTACTGCCTCTATTTTACTTCCCTCATCGGAGCTTTCGAGATTACGAGAACTTGTTCTGTCAGGAACCATTTTGTCAGACCATATCTTGATATGATAAATTGCTTAGTCCTAACGTACAATCCGAAGGACTGATTATAACGACACCTAACGCACACCTTTACACACAATCTCAATTTACGTACATGGGCAGTATGAAGGTGCTCCAACCCTCTGATCTGACCCGTCATCACAATTGTTGAAATAATCACATCGGACAGACCGTGGAACGCATTTACCATTGTCGCACTGCAATTCATATACACTGTCAGTACACGTTCCTGTTGATAAGAAAAAATCAAATATCCAATATTAATCTGGGAAGGGATATAGATTATTATGTTTATTGTACTTCTCTGTAAAGGGTATATAGCTAAGCGGTAAGGGCATTCGACTACAGTTCGAGAGGTTATTTGATCACATGATCAAAGTTGATCGTGTGTTGCTGTAAAGGGGATATAGCTCAGTGGTAGAGCATTCGACTGCAGATCGAGAGGTCCCTGGTTCAAATCCGGGTGTCCCCTTTTTCTTATTAAGTTTTTTATTGATATCAATTAATTTATCGATCACATGATCAAAGTTGATCGTGCATTGTATAGGGGATATAGCTCAGTGGTAGAGCATTCGACTGCAGATCGAGAGGTCCCTGGTTCAAATCCGGGTGTCCCCTTTTCTTATTATGTTTTTATTGATATCAATTAATTTATCGATCACATGATCAAAGTTGATCGTGTGTCGCTGTAAAGGGGATATAACTCATTGGTAGAGCATTCGACTGCAGATCGAGAGGTCCCTGGTTCAAATCCGGGTGTCCCCTTTTTATTATTAAGTTTTTATTGATATCAATTAATTTATCGATCACATGATCAAAGTTGATCTAGTGTTGCCGTAAAGGGGATATAGCTCAGTGGTAGAGCATTCAACTGCAGATCGAGAGGTCCCTGGTTCAAATCCGGGTGTCCCCTTTTCTTATTATGTTTTTATTGATATCAATTAATTTATCGATCACATGATCAAAGTTGATCGTGTGTTGCTGTAAAGGGGATATACCTCAGTGGTAGAGCATTCAACTGCAAATCGGGAGGTCCCTGGTTCAAATCCGCTTGTCCCCTTTTTCTTATTAGGTTTTTATTGATATCAATTAATTTATCGATCACATGATTGAAGTTGATCGTGTGTGGCTGTAAAGGGGATATAGCTCAGTGGTAGAGCATTCGACTGCAGATCGAGAGGTCCCTGGTTCAAATCCGGGTGTCCCCTTTTCTTATTATGTTTTTATTGATATCAATTAATTTATCGGTTCATGATCAAAGTTGATCGTGTGTTGCTGTAAAGTGGATATAGCTCAGTGGTAAAGCATTCGCCTGCAGATCGAGAGGTCCCTGGTTCAAATCTGGGTGTCCCCTTTTCTTATTATGTTTTTATTGATATCAATTAATTTATCGGTCCATGATCAAAGTTGATCGTGTGTTGCTGTAAAGGAGATATAGCTCAGTGGTAGAGCATTCGACTGCAGATCGAGAGCTCCCTGGTTCAAATCCGGGTGTCCCCTTTTTATTATTAAGTTTTTATTGATATCAATTAATTTATCGATCACATGATCAAAGTGGATCTAGTGTTGCCGTAAAGGGGATATAGCTCAGTGGTAGAGCATTCCACTGCAGATCGAGAGGTCCCTGGTTCAAATCCGGGTGTCCCCTTTTTATTATTAAGTTTTTATTGATATCAATTAATTTATCGATCACATGATCAAAGTTGATCTTGTGTTGCTGTAAAGGGGATATACCTCAGTGGTAGAGCATTCGACTGCAGATCGAGAAGTCCCTGGTTCAAATCCGGGTGTCCCCTTTTTCTTATTAAGTTTTTTATTTAATTAATTTATCGATCACATGATCAAAGTTGATCGTGCATTGTATAGGGGATATAGCTCAGTGGTAGAGCATTCGACTGCAGATCGAAAGGTCCCTGGTTCAAATCCGGGTGTCCCCTTTTCTTATTATGTTTTTATTGATATCAATTAATTTATCGATCACATGATCAAAGTTGATCGTGTGTTGCTGTAAAGGGGATATACCTCAGTGGTAGAGCATTCGACTGCAGATCAAGAGGTCCCTTGTTCAAATCCGGGTGTCCCCTTTTTATTATTAAGTTTTTATTGATATCAATTAATTTATCGATCACATGATCAAAGTTGATCTAGTGTTGCCGTAAAGGGGATATAGCTCAGTGGTAGAGCATTCAACTGCAGATCGTGAGGTCCCTGGTTCAAATCCGGGTGTCCCCTTTTTCTTATTAGGTTTTTATTGATATCAATTAATTTATCGATCACATGATTGAAGTTGATCGTGTGTTGCTGTAAAGGGGATATAGTTCAGTGGTAGAGCATTCGACTGCAGATCGAGAGGTCCCTGGTTCAAATCCACGTGTTCCCTTTTCTTATTATGTTTTTATTGATATCAATTAATTTATCGGTCCATGATCAAAGTTGATCGTGTGTTGCTGTAAAGGGGATATAGCTCAGTGGTAGAGCATTCGACTGCAGATCGAGAGGTCCCTGGTTCAAATCCGGGTGTCCCCTTTTCTTATTATGTTCTTATTGATATCAATTAATTTATCGGTCCATGATCAAAGTTGATCGTGTGTTGCTGTAAAGGAGATATAGCTCAGTGGTAGAGCATTCAACTGCAGATCGAGAGGTCCCTGGTTCTAATCCGGGTGTCCCCTTTTTATTATTAAGTTTTTATTGATATCAATTAATCTATCGATCACATGATCAAAGTTGATCTTGTGTTGCTGTAAAGGGGATATAGCTCAGTGGTAGGGCATTCGACTGCAGATCGAGAGGTCCCTGGTTCAAATCCGGGTGTCCCCTTTTTCTTATTAAGTTTTTTATTGATATCAATTAATTTATCGATCACATGATCAAAGTTGATCGTGCGTTGCTGTATAGGGGATATAGCTCAGTGGTAGAGCATTCGACTGCAGATCGAGAGGTCCCTGGTTCAAATCCGGGTGTCCCCTTTTCTTATTGTGTTTTTATTGATATCAATTAATTTATCGATCACATGATCAAAGT